TTTAGGGGCACTCAATCCCAGCCTGCATGCCTGATCCAGCCCACAGAGCCATCCTATCATGCCGACAGGTCTGAAAAAAATTTCAGTGTTCCTCTTTCCACAGAGGAATTGTTGCTGTCCTGCTGCCAAATTTCTGGAATCTTGAGGAACTTCACTCACCAATCTAGCATGCTGTCTGGCCTGCTGAGGTGGCTTAGACTGGATCTGGGCATACAGGTGCTAGCTGAAAGCAGCATGGGTCCCAGGGAGGGGATGCAGGGCCCTGATCTGGAGGAGCCAGACTGGGGGGAAGCAGCATGGGGCCCTGAGCAGAGCTGAGGGAGACACTGTGGGGTATGATCCTGATGCACAGACTGATCCTGCACCTTTCATCCATCCCAGAGTCCCAAGAACTTGAGCACAACTGCTGTAATTGGATGTATTTCCACAAATACCAGGGTCCTATTATATGGATCCATTAGAAGTGCCAGACTAATTTAAGCTTAAATGTTCCTCTAATATTGATAGTGCAAATATAGCAGCTTAATTTAATTTTAATCTGGTTTAATTTGATTTTACTTACTCAGTTTTGTTTTATTATAGTTCTGTTCAGGTTTATTCAATTTAATTTCATTTTAATTGATCTGCATTAATTCTCCTGCTTGTCACTTTCTTCTTAGCTTTAATAAGGTACTGTATGTACTTGAATAGAAGACAGCCCTGATTGTAACATGACCCCCAATAATTTGATTCTGTAAATAGAAAAGTTTTATAAATTTGTTATAATTCTTCATGTATAGAATCTAATTATTGGAAGTTTGCCTTGAATTTGTCCCCGTCCCACTGCTACAGCAGGGAAACGGAGGGAAAAAAAAAAGGGGGGGGGGGGGGGGAGGTTAGGTAACCTCTTTGCTCTCTGCTTTCCTTCAACTTTTTCTCGTAGCAGTCCCTTTCCCCTCTCTTTACTGTTAGACCCTGCTCCCCCTGAGCACAGGGAAGTGAGGAGCAAATTCAGAAACAATAACCTTGAAATTAAACATAGATGTAGTAATTTACATATAGTACCCATACACTTAGTTCATTCAGAATTGATGTGTGTTGCCTTTTTTTGGAACTGCAGCAAGTTTTAGTACAGGTACTCTGCAAACACACTTTTGAGCAGCACTTTGGGATCTACTTACATGACAAACTAGGTGTCTCCATGAAATGCTTTACTGCACAGTAAGCATGTGTCTACATGTGCAGATGCTTACTGCACAGTAAGCTTCACTAATTGCAAGTAAATTTGCTACCTGCAAATGCACATATCAAATTTTACTTGCAATTAGTTACTGCACAGTAGTGCTGATGTAGATGCCCAAAGTTGGGGGGGGGGGGGGGGGGGGGGACA